ATACCCATTCAACTTGTAGCAATTCTCCCGTTTGTGACCATGCAAGTATGAATATTCACATTCAATATAGGGCTTTTTACCCTTATACCTCTGACTTGAATTCTATCCTTTGTTATTATTCTAAGCATAGAGGGCAGTGGAGACTTCAGAATTAACATTCATACCAGTGAGAATTTTCTGACTTTCATCTTGATTCATAACTGAGTATGCTTGTTTAACACTTGGCAATGGATTCATAAGTAGAATTTGACTCCTCACTATAGAATATGAGTCATTTAAGCCCATTAAAAATTGTAATAATTTCTGCTAATTAATGTGCTCAAGAAATGCTTTTGCAGAAACACTGTCTGGTATAGGTAGGCTTACTAGTGAATCCAATTCATCCCAAAAAGACTTAAGTTTGTTGTAGTATATTGCCACAGTGTTTGTTCCTTGCGTGACATTGGCAATTTCTCAGTAAAGACCAAAGATTCGAGTTTCGTTAACCTTATGATATTGCTCTTTCAAGTCTTGCCAAACTTGAGTAGCATCGGTTGAGTAAACAATCCCATTGAAAATGTCCTTTGATACCAAGTTGAATATCTACGCAAGCACCAATGAATTACATCATTCCCATTGCAAAACTAATTGAAAGTGAATAGAGGTCCTTGTGCAGGTTCCATTGACAAAACCTAGCTTATTTTTCGCACACAAGAAGACAATCATTGCCCTACTCCATATCCCATAATTCTCAATCCCTTGTAGCTGCTCAGAGACTAAAACAGAACCAGTTGTATCTGAGGGGTGAACATAAAGGGGAGAATTGGAGTCAATCGAAGGAATTACAGATTCTTCAGTCGAAGATGCCATAATCAGATCAACAAGATTGAAGCTTCGGAGAGCCGAATTGAAACTGAAGAAGACAAACTGAATCAGATCAGCAAAATCAAAACTTCAAAGAGACAAACTGGAACAGAAGAAGACGAGCTGAAGCTGAAGAACGGTAAGAATTTCAAGCCCCTTTGAATTTAATCAAAGTGAAATTCGAGTTTGATTGACCCTAGTTTTGCGGAAAAAATTGTTGCTCTGATACCATGTTGAATATATTGAGAGAAATCGAGGAAGAAGCCATTTGGGGAAAAAAAAATATACTCTTTTGTTATTGAATAATGCTTTTTACAAAAAATTTATACAATAACTGATGCAAATTAACCCAACTAGCTGCACTCATCTAACTACAGTTAACAATTAACATAGCCATACATCTTAACTAATCTTCACATTAACTATATACAACTAACTTACTACTTAACACAACAACTAATTCACAACAATCATGTTCAGTTTCTGATCCATCCGAGGATTTTCGAAGCTTAAATAACATAATTAAACTGTAAATTCTTCTCAGCCTCATCTCTAAATATTTTTGTGCACCTCAAACAGGCCCAACTTAACCCCTAGGGCCCCCAAAAAATGGGTAAAAAAGGGGGCCTAAAATTATTTTTTAATATATTTATAATTTTTCAATTCTCATCAATCCCACCATGTACTTGCCTATGCCTATTTTTACCCAAAATTATTATTTTAAGAGTTTTTTAATATATTTGTAATTTCTCAATTCCCATCAATCCCACCATATGTCCAATCAGCCATGCCTATCGCTAAACTTAAAACATAATTAGCGGCTCATTTTTCCGTTGAAAATTGAAACACCTTCACGTAATTCTCCAACCCTCAAATGTCAAATCACATCTCCTCTCCCCCCCAAATGGGAATCACCTTCTCTTACATAAACCTCATTTCACTTAAAGTTTTCTCATCTTTTACTCTTATTATTCACAACTCAATTTACTCTCTTGTCTCTCCTTTCTCATCTTTATTACATAAATTTATCAAGTGAATGTGATTTACGTTATTATTTTTATGCAAGGTAATATTAAGAGCTTTAAATCATTTTACTCTTAGTATTCTCAACTGATTTTACTTTATATTTGATCAAGTGAATAAGTGATTTACATTATTATTTTTATACAGGGTAATAATATAAGATTTTTGAGTATCAGCACAGCAAAAAGCAAAATTAGGTGCTAAAGTTCCTTCTTAATTTTTATAATTTTTTTTTATTTTAACAAAATAATATTAAAAGCTCTAAATTATTTATTCTTTGAATATAGATGTCTACTAGGAAGTGTACATCTGGATTTGAAAAACATAAGGAAAAAAAAAAGAATAAAAGAACTAATTCAATCCCGAAAAGGTGCACTTGATAAATTTGTTATTAATACAAAACACCAAATGCTAAAAAAACCAAATGAAGATTTAAATGAAAAATCAATTGAGTTGATAAATATTCTAGCATTAGAAATAAGAAATACCATTATTAAAAAAAATCAAAGAATCAAAATATTTTTCAGTTATACTTGATTGTACCCCAGATACAAGTCATCAAGAACAAATGTCACTTATATTAAGATGTGTAGATATTTCAATAAGTCCAATAAAAATAAAATAGTACTTTATAGATTTTATAAAAGTGGATGATACTTCTGGTCAATTCCTTTTTAATGTTCTTACAAGTATATTAAAAAATCCTGAACTTGATGTAAATAATGTGAGAGGACAAATATATGATAATGGGTCTAATATGAAAGGTAAACATCAAGGTGTGCAAAAAAGATTATTAGGTATAAATTCTAGAGCATTTTATACACCATGTGGTTGTCACAGTCTTAATTTAGTTCTTTGTGATATGGCTAATTCATGTGCTAATGCTATTACATTTTTTTGGAGTGACACAATGTATATACTCATTATTTTCTTCTTCTACAAAACGATGAAAATTTTGCAAGATCATGTTTTTAATTTGGAAAAATTCTATCCTTACAAAGACCTATATAAAGAGGACTACAAAGTGACATGAGAGAGAAGAAAAAAAAACAACGGAAAAAGAGAGAGAGAGAGAGAGATAAATCATAAAAATCAAGGGTAGCAATTGTTTTTGTATGCCCCCTTTGTATTTGTCTTTGTAAGCCTAGCACTTCTCTTTTAATTTGACACTTAAGCCATTATCACAAACACGTTGGGAAAGTCGTGTTGAAAGTGTTAAAGCAATAAAATTTTAAGCTCCACAAATAAGAGATGCTTTATATCAATTAGCAGAAACTAGTGAAGATCCTAAAACAAAAAGTGAAGCTATTTCTTTAGTAAAATATGAGATTGAAAATTTTGAATTTCTATTAGGCATGAATATTTGGTATGAAATGTTATTTGCTATTAATGCGCTTAATAAATATTTATAATCTAAAAAAATGGACATTGTTGTTGCAACAGGTCAGTTGAAACGTTTTGTTTCGTTTTTTGTTTCATTTTTTGAAAAATATAGAGAAAATAGGTTTACATCTTCTATGATTTCTACTAAAGAAATTACAGAGCAAATGAATATATAACCAAAATTTCATAAAAAACGTATAATAAAGAGAAAAAAAAAACAATTTGATGAGAATGAAAACGAAGAGATAAAATTGTCTGCTGAAGAATCTTTTAGAATAAATTATTTCACATATTTAGTTGATCATGTCATTTCCTCACTTCAAAGTAGGTTTGAACAATTTGAAATATATAGTAATAACTTTGGTTTTATTTATAATATAGAAAAGTTAAAATTGCGTGATGATGATAGTTTGTAGAAACATTGTTTAAATCTTGAAAACTTTTTAAAACATGACATGCTCTCTGATATTGATGGTTTAGATTTATATTCAGAATTAAAAGTTTTAAAAGAAATTATAAACGTGGAAATTAAAACACCACTTGAGATACTAGATTTTATAAAAAAAAATGTGAATTCTTTTCCAAATGCATGGATAGCTTATAGAATACTGTTAACTATTCTTGTTACTGTAGCTTCAGCAGAAAGAAGTTTTTCAAAATTAAAGTTAATAAAATCTTATTTGTGTTCAACTATGTCACAAGAAAGATTAGGTAATTTAGCTATATTATCAATTGAAAAATATTTGGTTTCTAAATTTGAATATAAAAATTTAATTAGTGATTTTGCATCTCAAAATGCAAAAAAAATGAATTTGAAATATTTTTTTATTATATACTTATATTATTAGAAAGTCCTTAGAGTAACTCTTACTTAGGGTCATAAATGTTCTTAAGACGATCCGGCCTCAAATGCTCATAATTTGGGTGGGGCGGAAGGATTCAGCAATTTAAATTAAGTTCCAGAGAAGTTTAACCACAACGGGCATACTGCCACAAGACATCTAGATAGATAAATATATGTGTACCAAGGAATCTCCACCAAGGGAGTATTCACCTCCCGCCACGAGCTCCAGAACTAGACCTTGGGCCTGGGAACCGAGAAAATTGTAGTCGCAAGTATCTAGAATCAGAGTCGTCTTCGTCCATCTTATAACCTGCATAAATCCAACACTAAAGTCAGCAAACTCTAAAAATTTAAGATAACTCATGACGTGGGTACATATGTCAGACAATGAATATAATCCAGCAATTAGGGATATTACACCCTTTTAAGACTTATGATGCCTTGCAAAATAGTAAGTCATAACAGATATGCAAAGAAACGCAACAGATGGCATTTGATGCCCATTGAGTTATCTCCATTTCCAAATTTAAATGTCTGAATTTGAGTAGCACGGATAACTGTTAAGATTCATGAGAAGAATGAATAATCACCTTGCAAGGCACTCATAGCAGTGGCTACACAGGCTGGACTCATAGCAGATATGCTTATATGGTTATATGATTTTTTTTATTTTTTTTTGGTTTGGTACAGTTTTTAGGTTCGAATTTCGATTATATACATGAGAAAATCAAAAATATAAAATTCCATGTTATTTATAGGTCAAGTAATATCTTAATTCTGAAACATGTCTAACTAAGAAACCTAATTAATGTAGTACTGTTACAGTCGGTGTAATGTTGCTAAAATCTCAATATTGTAAGAGCAACATTTTCATATTTAAAATTGTAATATTCCATGTGTACAATGTTNTGAATGGTCAGGATCATCCGCCCTCCTGGATTGGCTTGAATCTCCAAATGCCCACATCTTCAAAATCAACGTCCCAGGTAATCTCTCCTATTTTCCATACGCATGATTTTATAAATGGGTTTTGTGTTGAATTTAGGTGGAATTTATTTGATTGAACATTTTTGTTTGATTGATCAATAGGATGGAGCAGAGAGAACATAAAGGTGCAAATAGAAGATGGGAACGTAATGCGGATAACAGGAGAGGGAAGTAAAGAGGAGCAAAATGGGAAAGACACGGTTTGGCATGTAGCTGAAAGAGGAACAGGAAAGGGAGAATTTTCTCGAGAAATTGAATTGCCGGAAAATGTGAAGTTGGATCAGATCAAGGCCCATGTGGAAAATGGTGTTCTCACTGTTGTCGTTCCAAAAGATGCAAGCCCAAAGCCCAATAAAGTTAGGAATATTAACATTACTAGCAAGCTCTAGGATTTAAGCTCTTGAAAATGGCCATGGGTTAAGAATAACAACAGTTCTTCGTGTGGTATGTGTTGTAATAAAAAATAAATCTCACTCAAACTAGTGCACGTATCTATCTGAGTATAATTATTAAATTTTAATATTATAAATATGTCGTGAATATGAGGTTTTGTAAAGCATTACGTATTCGAAGACTATAATTATTAAGTTGAATTTATTACTTGGAAAAAAGAGTTATGTTCACATTATTTAATCAACTTATGCTTTTATCATTTATCATCTCATTGAAAAACAATGTCAGTAAGAATTATTGGTAGAATAATCTATGTGATTAGGTTTTTATGTCTGGATATAAGTCGAAAACTCTGATATATATGAATAATTTATAACTGTTAGATGATGGAATTGTCATATATCTTTAAATCTTTTAAAGATCAAGTAAAATTAGAGTAATAGTAAAACCCAATCGGTTCAATCAAGACTTAGGGCCGTCATTGGGTTGGGTTATCAATTTCTCTATTCATTGAAAACCCTAAAAATTGGGATTATGATCAACGAACAATTGAAAGTTGAGATGTTGAGGGTTTGAAGAGGAAGGGTCTATGAGTACAATGGTGACAACAAAGGTGATTTCCAGTAAGTGAATTGATCGGAAATCGAAAAAAACCTGTGATGATAATAGTCGTTGCTGGTGATTGGTGAGGCGAACGAGGGTGGGGTGAGCTGGGTTTTGGTCAAGAGACTAAGGAGAGTATTTTTGTGGTGATGTGGAGGATTGTTGATACTGCCAGTGGTGAGATATGGCCTGAGTTGTTGACATTGACGATGGTGAGATCTGGCCAAAATCGAACTGATTTTGGTTAGATCTTAAGTACATTTTTTGGAGAATGGTTCAAATGATGATTGAGATTACATTTGGTGTGTCACCGCCGCGAATCAGTCGACCGTTGATTTGTATTTGGATGTGTTTGCTAAATTTCAAACTTGTAAGAACTTAACGAATTTTTAGAGGTGTATTTGCTAAATTTTAAATGTTTGGACACCCGGTTTGAGCCCCTGGGTTGGTTATTAAAACATTGGGTAATGAGAATTTAGGGCTCCGTTTGGTTCACAATTTTGTGTTTTTGAGAAAAGTTTTTTGAAAAAAGTTAAAAAAAAGTTGAATTGGGCGGGTATTACTATGTAGGATTTACAAATTATAAAATACCCCCTATGTTTGTTTTTTTACAAAATACCCCATATAATAAAACATTAAAAGTTAATAAAAACACCTCCAATCCACCCTCAAATACGAACAGCTAGCCACCACCGCCGGAGGGTGGTCGGAGTCGCCATATCGGCGCATGACCGACTGGATTTTGCCGGTTGTGCGCCGATATGGTCTTTTTCGGTCAGATCTACGGTTAGATCTGGCCTTTGCCGGCCAGATCCGGCCGTATTTGCTATTCAACGACGGCCAACAAACGGTCGTCGTTGATGGTCAACGACGACTGTTTGTTGGCCGTTGTTATCGACTGTTACGACCAAAGATCTGGTCGTCAACGGCCAGATCTTTGGCCTTAGATCTGGCCGGAAAAGGTTAGATCGGCACACTACCGGCCAGATTCAGCTGGTAGTGCGCCATCCTACCAGATTCCGGCCATTTTCCGGCAGTGGTGGCCGGAATCTAGTAAATGTGGATTGTTGAGGTGTTTTTGTAATTTTTAAAAAAATATTTAGGGGTATTTAATTAAATTAACAAATTTAAGAGGTTTAAAAAAAATTNTCCCAATCCATGAAGGGGTCACAAGATTTCAAAAGTGAAATTAAATTCATGCCAGCCCCAGTTGCCATTAGCTACTCAGCCTATTAAATATGCTCTTAATCTTATTCACAGCAGCGTATTTTGTCGCGTATGCCACAAGAACATGTTATAAAATAGTATGACAGGAACAAAATGAAAATCATTCAACGATCCCAAACATGAGAATAAATATGCTATATTAATTGTCAATCTCAAAAGGTCAAAGTTTTTTCATCCAACATGTTGAATATATTGAGAGCAATCGAAGAAGAAGCCATTTCGGGAAAAAAAATTTACTGTTCTATTATTGAATAATGCTTTTTACAAAACTTTTATACAATAACAGATGCGAACTAACCCAACTAACTGCACTCAGCTAACTACGGTTAACAATTAACACAACTATACATCTTAACTAATCTTCACATTAACTATATACAACTAACTTAGTGCTTAACACCCCTCCTCAAATTGGTAGGTGATAAAGGTCTAAAACCCCCAACTTGTGTAACAACTTGTAATGAAGGATGCTACCAAGTGCTTTAGTCAGTAAATATGCTGGCTATTCTTCAAAAAGGGATGTAGGCAATTGTGATGAGTCCAAGCTTGAGTTGATCTCCAACAAGTGCTTTAGTCAGTAAATCTATTGGCTGTTCTGCAAAAAGGGATGTAGGCAGTTGTGATGAGTCCAAGCTTGAGTTGATCTCTAAAAATATAGCAGTCGATATCAATATGTTTTGTCCTCTCATGAACAATGGGATTAGAGGCAATATGATTTGTAGCTTGGTTGTCACAATGGAGAGGAATAGATAGTAGTTTTGATCTTGAAAAACCAAGTTCTGTGAATAGTTGTATCAGCCAAAGAATTTCACATATAGTTTAGGCCATTCCCCTATGCTCTGCCTCTGAAGATGATTTGGAAATGGTGGGTTGCCTCTTAGATTTCCAAGAAATTAAAGACTTTCCAAGGAAAATACAATAGCCAGACACTGATTTTCTTGTCATAAGACAAGATGCCCAGTCAGAATCACAAAAAGCTAACAAATTCATGGTGTTTTATACTAGGAAAAACAGTCCTAAACCTGGGGCTGACTTTATATATCGAACAACTTTGAGAGCTACATTCATGTGGGACTGTTTGGGCTTATGCATGAATTGACTTAGCAAATTGACAGAAAAACTTAAATCTAGCCGTGTCATACATAAGTATAGCAGTTTCCCTATTAATCTTTGATAGATACTTGGACCAGAAATCAATGGATCAGGTGCAGTAAGGAAGAGGTCATCATAAGCTGCAGATATCAATTTTAAGGTTGAATCCATTGGAATGGCAGATGGTTTAGAACTTGACAAACCAGATTCTAAAATTAACTCCAACGCATATTTTCGTTGGCACAAGCTAATCTCTTTAGAAGATCTTGCAACCTCAAACCCCAAAAAATACCTAAGCGACCCAAGTCCTTCAGCTTGAATTTAGAATGCAGAAGTTCCTTAGTTTGCTGAATCTTCTCATCATTGTTTCTTGTGATCAGAATATCGTCCACATACACTAGCAATATCACAATATCAGAATCAACCTTCTTAATGAACAAGGAATAATCTGATTTGGATTGGCAAAAACCACTAGCAATCAAAGCTTGTGTAAGCTTGTAATTCCAAGCTCTAGAAACCTGTTTTAATCCATACAGGGATTTGTGAAGCTCTATATTCTGCCCCCCTGTTTAGCAAAGCCCTGTGCCAAAGTCATATAAATCTCTTCTTGTAAATCCCCTTGGAGAAAAGCATTATCAACATCCAATTGATAAAGATTCCAACCATACATTGAAGCTAAAGATAAAATGGTCCTAACAAAGACCATTTTTACAACAGGGGAAAAGGTTTATGCATAATCCACCCCAACCTATTGAGTATACCCCTTAGCCACCAATTGAGCCTTGTACCTCTCTAGAGAACCATCTGTCCTATATTTCAACTTATAAACCCATTTACGACCAATGGGAGTCTTACTAGGGGGTAAAGGGACAAGGGACTAGGTCTGATTATTTTGTAATGCCTCAATCTCTTTTTGCATGGCAGCAACCCAGTTTGGACCTTGAGAAGCTAAAGAAAAGAAGCTAGGTTCTACTAAATTGAGTTGAGACAAATAGACTTTGTAGGAAGGAGAAATGTGATCATAAGTGATAGAATTAGAAATAAGATAAATAGTAGTATTGGTTGACGAGGAAGATGAAAGGGATGGACAAATAAAATCTAAAGTCCAAATGGGAAGTCGTTTAGGTCTACTGGACTGTCTTATAGGAGGTGCAACAGGCTAGTTAATAGGATGTGAGGTAGGCTGATTATCGAAAGGGGAAATAGGCTAATGTAGTAAGGGACATGCATGGTCAATAATAAACTGAGTAAAAATGGGAGAAGGAGAAGATTGTATTGATTTAGTGGACTGGACAACAAGGAATTCATCATTTAAGGAAATGCTGATCAAGAGGAAAAATATGTTGTGAAGGTTTGGACCAGGTGAAGGGAAATATATTTTCATAGAAAATAACATCTCTGGAAACTGAAACTTTGTGAGAGGAAAGGTTATGCAACAAATAACCTTTTTTGTGTCAAAGAATAACCCAAAAAGACACATGGTGTGGACCAAGGGGACAACTTATCTTGTGAAGGAAGAACAGTAGCATAAACCAAAGATCCAAACACCCTAAGATGATCTAAGGAAGGAGGTTTACCAAAAAAAATTCAAAAGGAGACAAACCTTTCAAAATAGAAGAAGGGAACCTATTAATCAAATAGACAGCAGCCTGCACACAATAACCCCAAAGATGGCTGGGTAGATTAGCCTGAAATTGCAGGCCCTAGCCACTTCAAGTATATGCTTATGTTTCCTCGCAACAATACCATTTTGTTGAGGAATATAGGCACAAAAACTTTGATGCACAATACCTTTGCTAACAAAAAAGTTAACAGTTTTTATTAAAAAAATTCAAGCCCATTATCGGTTCTAATACATTTAGGGACAAAATGATATTGGGTTTGTACTATTTGAAGAAAATGTTTGATGGTGATAAAAGAATCAGACTTATATTGCACAAGAAAGATCCAAGTGACTCTAGAAAAGTCATCTACTATAGTGAGAAAGTATTTGGCATTACCATGGGTTGGTGTCCCCATACATCCATGTGTAAAAGATCAAAAATGCAACTAGAGTGAGTACTAGGAAAAAGGACTCTAGTTTGCTTTGCTAAAGGGCAAACAGGGCAGTGTGGAGGTACATACATGTTTATTTTCAGGTTGTGATGCATAAGTTGCAGAGTTGAGTAAGGAATATGACCTAGCCTTCAATGCCATAATTCAACACTAATAGGTGCAGCAGTAGAAAAAAATGAACCAGGTAAACCAACATTTTATTTAATTGCAAATCAAAAGGTACAACAATTTTTGTTTTTGAAGACAGAACATTTGAAAGCTTACTAACAACTTTATTCGATTGCAATTTGCTTACATATGTAAAAACTGAATTAAAACCTAAAGAAATTTTGGAAGTTGGATCAAGAAGGTATAGACCTTGGTTATGCTTACCAATCCCCCTCAACTTGCCACTGTAACGATCCTGAATGAGACAAAAATCAAGATAAAAAGTGATAGCACAATTATTTGAAGTAGTGAATTTTGAAACAGAAATAAATTGTGTTTAAATTCTGGAATGTGTAATACTTTGGAGAGATGAAACCCATTGTCCAAATCCACAGAGTCTATATGTTTAATGTGTGTTTTGGTGCCATTAGGTAATCCTACAAGGGTTTGTGAAAAGGGCTCTAAAGGAATTGGTGATTGTAAACTAGAATAATTGCAAGTCATATGATCTGTGGCTCTTGTATCTATGATCCAAACATCATTATTCATGCAAGAGAAGTAAGCATTAATAGGGTCAAGAATTATACCTGCAAGATTAGCAGTTGGAGTAACATTCTGTTTCCCCAATAGTTGAAGGATCTGATTATACTAGTCAGACATCAACACAGGACCAACAGGGGCATTACAATTACCATTTCCAGCATCTGATGAGTCCGAAATTGGACTTTGCATAGTCACTTGATTCACAACAACTTTTGTTTTAGAATTTGTTCTGCTCTTTGTGAATTGGTAATCTACCAGATACCTATTCAACTTGTAGCAATTCTCCCGTTTGTGACCATGCAAGTGGGAATATTCGCATTCAATATAGGGTTTTTTACCCTTATACCTCTGACTTGAATTCTGTCCTTTGTTATTATTCTGAGCATAGAGGGCAGTGGAGACTTCAGAATTAACATTCATACCAGTGAGAATTTTCTGACTTTCGTCTTGATTCACAACTGAGAATGCTTGTTTAACACTTGGCAATGGATTCATAAGTAGAATTTGACTCCTCACCATAGAATATGAGTCATTTAAGCCCATTAAAAATTGTAATAACTTCTGCTGATTAATGTGCTCAAGAAATGCTTTTGCAGAAACACTATTTGGTATAGGTAGACCTGGCAAAACGGGTTCAGACCTGCAGGTCGGTTCGTACCTGGGTAAAAAATATAGGGTATGGGTCCAATATATTGAACCCGTTTTTTTTGGACCCGTACCCGGGGTTCACCCGTTTTTGCAAATCCCTAACCCCCTACCCTAACTCAGCAACTCAACTCTATCCTGCCTCTCATCTCTCTTGCCTCTCAATCTTCAACATAACATTCTCTCCCACCTCTCAATCTCTTATCGATCAACTGGATGTGCGTCGAAAGAGAGTTTCGGTGGTTTTGTGGAAAATGAGGAAGAGGAAGAGGAAGTCGAAGAAGAAAAGGAGGTGAGGAAGGTTATTGGATCGAAAGCGGGAAAGAGTAATTTAGGAAATGGGGCTAAAACATCACAAAAGAGGAAAAGGGTTTTGTATGGAGATGAAGAAGATGAGGATTATGAAGGAGAGGAGGAGGAAGAGGAGGAAGAGGAGTTTACCCTTGATGAAGATGATTGTTTGGATGATGAAGAGGAATTGGTGGTCACAAAGAAGAAAAACAACAGTAGGAAGAATAAGAAGTTGGGTAGAAAAGTCTGAGAAAAAAGGGTTCTGTATTAGGAAATTAATTTTCTAAAGATGGGTACAAGTCAACACATGGGTTTAAGTTTCAATGTGTTAATTATGTTCAGTCACATAGTACAACTCCATCACTGCCTGTAGATGCAATTCTTCCATTATTCTAAATTGATTTTCAGGTTGTCATTGTAAATGGCAATTAAGTTGGCTTCTGTTAGAGGTCGAAAAAATAGAAAGCGTACAGACTCAGCAAAGTCATTAGGAAAGAAAGGAAGAAGAACTCGTGGGTTGAGGAGGAAAGAAATATGTGATGATGATGAAGATGAAGATTGTGATTTTCTTGATGATACTCTAGTTGTGAGAGAAAAGAGCAAGACAAAATCAAGTCGGCAAAGGCGAAAGTATGTTGTACCTTCAGATTCAGATTTTGTGTCTTCTGAGTCATCTGATTTTGATTATACAATCTCAGAGGAAGAGAGAGAATAAGTGAGAGAAGCCAATGAATTGTGTGGGTATCTGAAAACTAGTTCAAGGAGTTCAGTTTCCTCAAAAAGGTGAAACTGCAGAAACTAAACCTGGAGAGAGGAAAAACGGGTCCACCCGTACCCTTATAGGGTAGGGTACGGGTCTAATATTTTGGACCCATATATTTCGACCCGTATTAGACCCGTACCCGTTTGATCCGTACCCATAAAGACTCGACCCGTACCCAGCCCACCCACCCATTTTGCCAGGTCTAGGTATAGGTAGGCTTACTAGTGAATCCAATTCATCCCAAAAAGACTTAAGTTTGTTGTAGTATATTGCCACCGTGTTTGTTCCTTGAGTGACATTGGCAATTTCTCGGTGAAGACCAAAGATTCGAGTTTCGTTAACCTTATGATATTGCTCTTTCAAGTCTTGTCAAACTTGAGAAGCATCGGTTGAGTAAACAATCCTATTGAAAATGTCCTTTGATACCAAGTTGAATATCTACGCAAGCACCAATGAATTACATCGTTCCCATTGCAAAACTAATTGAAAGTGAATAGAGGTCCTTGTGCAGGTTCCATTGACAAAACCTAGCTTATTTTTCGCACACAAGAAGACAATCATTGCCCTATTCCATATCCCATAATTCTCAATCCCTTGTAGCTGCTCAGAGACTAAAACAGAACCAGTTGTATCTGAGGGGTGAACATAAAGGGGAGAATTGGAGTCAATCGAAGGAATTACAGATTCTTCAGTCGAAGATGCCATAATCAGATCAATAAGATTGAAGCTTCGGAGAGCCGAACTGAAACTGAAGAAGACAAACTTCATCAGATCAGCAAAATCAAAACTTCAAAGAGACAAACTGGAACAGAAGAAGACGAGCTGAAGCTGAAGAACGGTAAGAATTTCAAGCTCCTTTGAACTTAATCAAAGTGAAATTTGAGTTTGATTGACCCTAGTTTTGCGGAAAAAATTGTTGCTCTGATACCATGTTGAATATATTGAGAGAAATCGAGGAAGAAGCCATTTGGCGAAAAAAAATATATTGTTTTGTTATTGAATAATGCTTTTTACAAAAAATTTATACAATAACTGATGCAAATTAACCCAACTAACTGCACTCAGCTAACTACGGTTAATAATTAACACAACCATACATCTTAACTAATCTTCACATTAACTATATACAACTAACTTACTGCTTAACACAACAACTAATTCACAACAATCATGTTCAGTTTCTGCAATCCATCTGAGGATTTCCGAAGCTTAAATAACATAATTAAACTGTAAATTCTTCTCAACCTCATCTCTAAATATTTTGTGGACCTCAAACAGGCCTAGCTTAACCCTGAGGGCCCCCAAAAAATGGGTAAAAAAAGGGGCCTAAAATTATTTTTTTAACATATTTATAATTTTTCAATTCTCATCAATCCCACCATGTACTCGACTATGCCTATTTCTACCCAAAATTATTTTTTTTAAGAGTTTTTTTTATATATTTGTAATTTCTCAATTCCCATCAATCCCACCATATGTGCCATCAGCCATGCCTATTGCTAAACTTAAAACATAATTAGCGGCTCATTTTTCCGTTGAAAATTGAAACACCTTCACGCAACTCTCCAACTCTCAAATGTCAAATCACATCTCCTCTACCCCCCAAATCAGAATCACCTTCTCTTATATAAACCTCATTTCACTTAAAGTTTTCTCATCTTTTACTCTTATTATTCTCAACTCAATTTACTCTCTTGTCTCTCCTTTCTCATCTTTATTACATAAATTTATCAAGTGAATGTGATTTACGTTATTATTTTTATGCAAGGTAATATTAAGAGCTTTAAATCATTTTACTCTTAACATTCTCAACTGATTTTACTTTATATTTGATCAAGTGAATAAGTGATTTACATTATTATTTTTATTTAGGGTAATAATATAAGATTTTTGAGTGTCAGCACAGCAAAAAGCAAAATCAGGTGCTAAAGTTCCTTCTTAATTTTTATACTTTTTTTTATTTTAACAAAATAATATTAAGAGCTCTAAATTATTTATTCTTTGAATATGGATGTCTACTAGGAAGTGTGAATCTGGATTTGAAAAACATAAGAAAAAAAAAAAGAATAAAAGAACTAATTCAATCCCAAAAAGGTGCACTTGATAAATTTGTTATTAATACAAAACACCAAATGCTAGAAAAACCAAATGAAGATTTAAATGAAAAATCAATTGAGTTGATAAATATTTTAGCATTAGAAATAAGAAATACCATTATTAAAAAAAATCAAAGAATCAAAATATTTTTCAGTTATACTTGATTGTACCCCAGATACAAGTCATCAAGAACAAATGTCACTTATATTAAGATGTGTAGATATTTCAATAAGTCCAATAAAAATAAAAGAGTACTTTATAGATTTTATAAAAGTGGATGATACTTCTGGTCAAGGCCTTTTTAATGTTCTTACAAGTATATTAAAAAATCCTGAACTTGATGTAAATAATGTGAGAGGACAAGGATATGATAATGGGTCTAATATGAAAGGTAAACATCAAGGTGTGCAAAAAAGATTATTAGATATAAATTCTAGAGCATTTTATACACCATGTGGTTGTCACAGTCTTAATTTAGTTCTTTGTGATATGGCTAATTCATGTGCTAATGCTATTACATTTTTTGGAGTGACACAACGTATATACTCATTATTTTCTTCTTCTACAAAACGATGGAAAATTTTGCAAGATCATGTTTCTAATTTGACACTTAAGCCATTATCACAAACACGTTGGGAAAGTCGTGTTGAAAGTGTTAAAGCAATAAAATTTCAAGCTCCACAAATAAGAGATGCTTTATATCAATTAGCAGAAACTAGTGAAGATCCTAAAACAAAAAGTGAAGCTATTTCTTTAGTAACATATGAGATTGAAAATTTTGAATTTCTATTAGGCATGAATATTTGGTATGAAATGTTATTTGCTGTTAATACGGTTAGTAAATATTTACAATCTAAAAATATGGACATTGTTGTTGCAACAGATCAGTTGAAAGGTCTTGTTTCATTTTTTAAAAAATATAGAGAAAATGGGTTTACATCTTCTATGATTTCTACTAAAGAGATTGCAGAGCAAATGAATATAGAACCAAAATTTCATGAAAAGCGTATAATAAAGAGAAAAAAACAATTTGATGAGGATGAAAACGAAGAGAAGAAATTGTCTACTGAAGAATCTTTTAGAATAAATTATTTCACATATTTAGTTGATCATGCCATTTCCTCACTTCAAAGTAGGTTTGAACAATTTGAAATATATAGTAATAATTTTGGTTTCATTTATAATATAGAAAAGTTAAAATTGCTTGATGATGATAGTTTGCAGAAACATTGTTTAAATCTTGAAAACTTTTTAAAACATGACATACTCTCTGATATTGATGGTTTAGATTTATATTCAAAAATAAAAGTTTTAAAAGAAATTATAAACGTGGAAATTAAAACACCACTTGAGATACTAGATTTTATAAAAAAAGGTGAATTCTTTTCCAAATGCATAGATAGCTTATAGAATACTGTTAACTATTTATGTTACTGTAGCTTAAAGAAGTTTTTCAAAATTAAAGTTAATAAAATCTTATTTGTGTTCAACTATGTCACAAGAAAGATTAGGTAATTTGGCTATATTATCAATTGAAAAATATTTAGTTTTTAAACTTGAATATAAAAATTTAATTAGTGATTTTGAATCTCAAAATGCAAAAAAAAATAAATTTAAAATATTTTTTTAATATATGCTTATATTATTAGAAGATTCCTAGAGTAACTCTTATCTAGAATCACATATGTTCTTATCTAGAATCACATATGTTTTTATGACGGCCCTGGCCTCAAATGCTCATAATTTAGGTGGGGCGGAAGGATTCAGCTATTTAAATTAAGTTTCAGAGAAGTTTAACCACAACGGGCATAGTGCCACAAGACATCTAGATAGATAAATATATGTGTACCCCTAATGTTTAACCAAGGAATCTCCACCAAGGGACTATTCACCTCCTGCCACCAGTTCCAGAACTAGACCTTGGGCCTGGAAACCGAGAAAATTGTAGTCGCAAGTATCTAGAATCAGAGTCGTCTTCGTCCATCTTATAACCTGCATAAATCCAACACTAAAGTCAGCAAACTCTAAAAATTTAAGATAACTCATGACGTGGGTACATATGTGAGACAATGAATATAGTCCAGCAATTAGAGACATTACACCCTTTTAAGGCTTATGATGCCTTGCAAAATAGTAAGTCATAACAGATATGCAAAGAAAGGCAACAGATGGCATTTGATGCCCATTGAGTTATCTCCATTTCCAAATTTAAATGTCTGAATTTGAGTAGCACGGATAACTGTCAAGATTCATGAGAAGAATGAATAATCACCTTGCAAGGCACTCATAGCAGTGGCTACACAGGCTGGACTCATAGCAGATATGCTTATATGGTTATATGATTTTTTTTTATTTTTTTTTGGTTTGGTACAGTTTTTAGATTCGAATTTGGATTATATACATGAGAAAATCACATATATAAAATTCCATGTTATTTATAGGTCAAGTAATATCTTAATTCTGAAACATGTCTAACTAAGAAACCTAATTAATGTAGTACTGTTACAGTCGGTGTAATGTTGCTAAAATCTCAATATTGTAAGAGCAACATTTTCATATTTAAAATTGTAATATTCCATGTGTACAATGTTACGTCCCGTAAAAACATTAAAGAAAATCAACGTTGTGGAGCACGAATTCAATGAGAAATGTATTTATTTTACCATATTCATATATCCTCAACCTGTGAAATACATAGACGTAAAATTCATCTGCAGGCCAACAAGGCAGACAAGCAGACACAAATCAAAACTATGAATCCATGAATGATAAGCCGTTTTTCTTTTCTTTTCTACATATCCATTATTATATTATTGTATATTCTTCTAACAACGTAATTATAATAGATAACCAACGGAACCCGCTCTCTCTTTCACTCTGTAGAGCTCTTCAAGAGACAACACTTCAACTGCATGATATGGATACTGTTCTCCGCTGCCTCCTGCAAAACGTCATATTTAAATTACATTAATAAACAAACGCTTCAACATTTAATATTACCCAATGTGATGGAATGCATTCAGCTTCCAGGTAGCAGAAGGGTTTTTATGTGAAATTAATTTCAAACATTTATTAACATTTGACGATACTTTACCTGTAAAGCATGCTATCAAAGCTACTATCTAGTGTGGTGAGGAGGAGGGAGATGAATAGACGTAATGGGGAGGCGGTGGGGATTGTAAACTGTGGCGGCGGAGACTTGTAGCTGGTGTAGGAGGTGGAGGAGACTTGTATTTATAGGGCTTTTCGGTTGGTGGTGGTGGAGACTTGTGGACTGGTGGAGGAGGTGGTGGGGACTTGTACTTGTAGGGCTTTTGGGTGTTGGTGGTGGTGGGGACTTGTGCACCGGCGGGAGGAGACTTGTAAACTGGTGGTGGTGGGGGAGACTTGTGAACTGGTGGTGGAGACTTGTACTCAGGTGGTGGTGGGGAAGACTTGTGCACCGGGGCGGTGGTGACTTGTAAACCGGTGGTGGTGATTTTGGAACGGTGGTGGAGACTTGTACTCAGTGTGGTGGTGGGGAAGACTTGTGCACCGGGGGCGGTGGTGACTTGTAAACCGGTGGTGGTGATTTGTGAACTGGTGCGGGAGATTTAATTGGATGAGGAGGAGGAGGAGGTGAAGATTCTTGGGTGGTGGAGGAGAAGAGTAAACGTAGTCAGCGGAGGTTCAAAAGGTAAAGTAAGAGAGATTGTTAAAACTAAAAGAGTGGCCAAAAGGGAGGCCATTGAACTCCCCTTTTCACTACCAAATATTAAATGGTTTGTTGCTTTTGCTTGTGCTCTCAAACGAAGCCTCTCCCCCTCTTTTATATAGAATTTTTTTTTACCTTTTTCCTCATAACTTATAATGGTAAAATTTGACTTTAATTACAACAAATTTACCCCTAAATCATTGAAGATCATGTATGAACTTGACTTTTATTTGAAGAGGTATTTGGATTTATGTCGGCTAAGTAATTTCATAATTTCAAGGAGAAATGGAAAGTCTTGTAAAAGGATTTGTTCTATAACTATTAATGAGATCACTTTGAAACATGAATTTAATTGCCTAACTTTCTAGGAATTTTGGCCTTAATTGGGAAAATTATGGGACCAATCGCCAAACTTTCTTCTTTTTTGTCCCATCTCTCTTCACACTGACCATAATTAATTTCTCTCACTTTTAATGCTGCAAGTAAATTTCCTTCAAAAAAAGTAATAGATTTATCCATAATTTTATTGCAAACACATGATATATATTAATGATCTTATGATTATGTACATATAAATCATCAAATGATTGTCAGTATTAAACCCCATACTTATGCTTAATGTATATAAACTCGATTGATTAGTCAATTAAAATAGAGGCCGAACGACTAACGCATACCCAAGGTTTATCGAAACGCCAAGTTGGTACCCAAAAGGTTTTGAAACGACAAACAGGTACCTTCCGTCATGTTCTATTAGCGATTTCTGTTTTTTCATAGTAAAAGACTAAATGCCCTAAAGTTTGATATTTTAGTTTTTTATAAATTTGAAATTTCTAAAAAAACCCCTAGGTTTGCTAATTTAACTAAACACCCCCATATATAAAAGTTTGTTAAATGACAAAAACACCCCGACCACTGCAGTGCCAGATTCCAGCCACCACCATCGGAATCTGGCCGAAATTGCGTTACGACACAGACCCTGTCGGATCTATGTCGTAACGTGTCGATCTGGCCTTTTTTCGGCCAGATTCGTGGCTGATCTGGCCGGAAAAGGCCAATATACGGCTAATCTGGCCGTCGTGGCCGAAAACTCCATCTGCGTGTCGACGGCCAGATCTGGCCTTTCTTCCCGATCAGCCACGGATTTGGCCGGAAAAGGCCAGATCGACGCGTTACGACACAGATCCGACGGGGTCTGTGTCGTAACGCAATTTCTGGCCAGATTCCGCTGCAGTGGTGGGAATGTTTTTGTCATTTAACAAACTTTTATATATGGGGGGGTGTTTAGTTAAATAAGCAAACCTAGGGGGGTTTTCTAGAAATTTATAAAAAACTAAATTCAAACTTTAAGGGCATTTTAGTCTTTTCATTGTTAACAACACAAAATCACTAACACACATGACGGAAGGTACATGTTTGTCGTTTCAAAACCTTTTGGATACCAACTTGTCGTTTCGTTAAACCTTGGGTGTACGCAAGTCGTTTGGCCTTAAATAGACCACATATGGCATGATAAATCACTCTAATTTTAATTTTCTCTTAACATTATTAATATTGTAATTGAAGCAGGCACTTTCAAACTCTAGATTCTAGAATAGGTTCGGTTCATTAGCTCTGCAATCTGCATGCACTATAGTCTTGATCCCATATAGAAAATTAGATAATGATCAAATTATAACAAGTTAAAGTCGGCCGCTATGTAATTAATTCATTTCCTTAAAATTAAGCAATAATTAATTTACAGGTAACAGAAGTCATCTCGTCTCATGCACTGCCGGTAGTGTTGAGCAAAACTATTTCCACTAATAATTGATTATAAAATTATCATTTTAAGTACAAAAGTAGTGAAGACTGAAGACTAATTAAACCAAACTCAATCTCTGTCTCTTTTAACACAGACCGGTGAATTAAACACGTACGTTTTGACTGCTTCCCAGGTTAATTAATCATAAATTTAATTAAAAAATAACCAATGTACTTTCTGCGTTTTCCTTTTACAAAGAAGAAGAGAAATTAACTTTCCTCTAGAATGCTGAAAGATGTTTTATGATAAAAGATTATATCAAAAGCAAATGATTTCAATGCTGGTTGGTTGGTTTGGTATATGAACCAAATTTCAATGCATGGGAAAATACGTGAGAGTTTAAGTGGTGCCAAATCGCGATTTCTTTTTTTATTTGCTTGACAATTGCGATTTTTAATTAAATTAGTCAACTTGCATGTTATACATATTTTAAAGCAATGTCCTGATGATGATATAGCTTTGGGATTTTACGGATTAATTTCAATTAATTTATTTAATCTCCTTTTTCACTGAAAATTAATGGTCACTAACATTAGATTAGAGAAATAAACGAAAATTTAGATTTTATACTTTCAAACACATACTCATTAACATATATTTTGGAAGAAATAAAAATAGAATTTTCAGATGCCGCAAACTGGTCTAGCCAACTCAGTTACCCAATTATATATAACAATAACAGCAATCTGTATAATTAATCTCTTATTAACCTCAAAGGTAGACCCTATTAACAGATCTTAGCTTTAGTTTGGTGTTGTCGTAGTCTAAAACTATAAACAAATACAAATATAATTAGTAATTATATAGAAATGGACGTATCTTTACTTCTTTTCACAGCCAATACCTTTCAAATAGGATTATTGCACATTAAACCAAATTAAAGAATGCTTGGTCGAAAAGGTTGCTTTCACCATATTGTTGTTATTTTAGTTTAGTAATTAATATTATGACGATTAATTAATTACAGCTAGACTAATGATAAACCTATAAAGTAACACGTCTAGAAACTACATAACATATAAATATATAACTATATTAAAAATACATTGTGGATCCGTAAAATAACATAATTTTGAATAATACTATATGTCCTAAACTCATTAGTCAACAACGTTACATTAAATATATTTTCAACTAATCACCGACGCAAATGGATAAAGAGCCTTGAACCAGTCATCATCTTTGAAATTAATTAACTAAACACGATGACTAGTTCATGGCTGCGATTTAATTAACTAGTTATGCATGCATGTAATATACAAAGTCTCCAAAATGCACCCATCATTCATTAATTGTAAAGACTTATATATTAAATTTTTGGTAAAGCTCAAGAAATACGTAGCCTTTTAGTCTTTTCTTCTCCTCTTTGTTTGTATACTGTTGAAATGTTCTGAGTGAAGAGATAATTAAAAAAAAAAAAAAAAAAAAGAGAGAGAGAAAATTCTTACGTATTGAAGATGATGGATGTTGATGATGGGTGGTAGGGCATGTCGGTTCATATTTTCTACCATATAATAGAGAATTAGGGACAAATTAGGAACTGGGATCTTGAAATTTAGTAGATCTGACTAATTCAACAATTAATTAATTATATAGATAAGGTTTGTTATTTAATTATATTGTTTTGTTTAATTCTAGAACTAATCTAACATGAAATGAAATGATTATTCATCTTTTTAGGTATATGCTTTTGAAGATGCCATGCAAAAATTGATAGTTTGATGTGATGATATAAACTTTTCATTGCCATCAAGTTATCAAATCTCGTTCCACAATTTGTTTTCTGCCAAATATTTATCTAAGTAAACAGTTATTTACCATCTCTGAATCCCCCAAACTTTTCTCTAAGGATTTGTGTTACACCATCCAATCACCAATTGGGCCACAGCTTTGTACCCCTTCAAGAAGCAGAAGATTTTACTGAAGTTTTACTCAAATTTTTAGGTGCAGAACAAAAAAATGCAATTCCCCAGTCTCCATGCTGCTCCCAAGTCTTGAACCAACTGTTGAGGACCGCCAAAGAGTCTAAGTCTTGAAACACTGTAGTGTTATAACACTTCTAGAAACCAATGAGCCCACCACAGTTTTATTAATACACAACTCATACACTTTGATTCCCCAAATGCATTAGCTTCCCAATCCATGAAGGGCTCACAAAATTTTAAATTCCGCCAGCCCCAGTTGCCATTCGCTACTCAGCCTTTTAAGTATGCTCTAATCTTATTCACAGCAGCGTATTTTGTGACGAATGCCACAAGAACATGTTATAAAATATTGACGGGAACAAATGGAAATCATTCAATGATCCCAAACATGAGAATAAATATGCTATAATAATTGTCAATCTCCAAAGGTCAAAGTTTTTTTTTCATCCAGCACTTAATTTACACAATCATGTTCGTTTTCTGCAATCCATCTGAGGATTTCCAATGCTTAAATACATACTAAACTGAAATTCTGCTCAGCCTCATCTCTAAATATTTTATGCACCTCAAATGCTCATAATTTGGTAGGGCGGAAGGATTCAGCTATTTAAATTTTCAGCAAAGTTTAACCAACACGGGCATACTGCCACAAGACTCTAGATAGATAAATATGTGTACCCTAATGTTTAACCGGAGGACAATTCACCTCCTGCCACGAGTTCCAGAACTAGACCTTGGGCCTGGGAACCGAGAGACTGTGTTCCAATTATCTAGAACCAGAGTCATCTTTGTCCATCTTATAACCGGTACGCATAAATCCAACTGTAAATTCAGAAACTCTAAAATTTGAGATAACTCATGACGTGGGTATATATGCCAGACAATGATATAGTCCAAACAATTGAGATTTACACCCCCTTTTAAGACTTATGATCTCTTGCAAACTTAAGTCATAACGATATGCAAGAAAGGCAGCAGATGACATTTGATGCCCACTTAATTATCTCCATTTCCAAATTTAAATGTCGAATTTGGAGCCCGGATAACTGTCACAGATTCTGAGAAGAATGAATAATCATCTTGCAAGGCACTCATAGCAGTGGCTGCACAGGCTGGACTTGCAAAATCGACAAACAAGATAAGAGGGTCTCCCCACGCTGCATTGTTAATGAACCATGGCTTTAGTATGGAAAAAGCATCAGACTTCCAACAACTTATTTGCAAAACATGATAAGAAACCAAGTTGAACAAATGATTAATAGGTAGGAACATAAACTGAACATTCTGGAGCTACAAAGATCGTTATTGATAGAATTCGCAATAGGATACTGTCCACTTACCTGTTTGGATTTTGCTCACAAGTCTCACTCTTTATATCCCACAAGTCGAAAAATATCTAAACAGTGAGGTAAAGGAATAAACAACTAATCGTGAGCAATATTAGTAGATAGCATGAAATAAGAAAACAAGATCACTGTCATTTCTAAGTGCTAATGTATCAAAAAGGATACGAGCTACTTCTCTCCTTGTGTGTCTGGAGGAAGTCCCTCAACATACAGAGTGTTGGAAGCATCAGAGGCAGGTAATGTTTCACGTTCTGGCCTAGCCATGGTCTCCACTGGGAGACGATCATCTAAATCCCTACTGGGACCGTTTGACACCATATCTCACCAATGATTCCAGAACGACAGCTCACACCATCAGCAATTGGAATACCAGCCATTCCCACAACACCCATTCCTGACCTAGCTCCTGCTAATGCACTGGCTTCTCCAGAAGGAAAAGAAAGATATTGCTTCAAAATCAATTACATTGATCATTTTAGCAAACAAAAACATGTATATCCAAGGCAGTGAAACACATGCAATTTCAAGGTTGAAGAAGATACTGCACTCTGGAGATATCGATCATATGCTGATCCAATAATTCTTGTATCCTTTACAGACCGATTCTCACCACGATCATCATCTCGTGATAAATAACCATGCCTCTCATGACGTGAAGACTCCCAGACTGGGGAAGATCTGCAATGTTGTTAAGAATCAAAGACATTAGTGAACTATTAGCAATGGGCACAACTATCACACATTCATACTCCAAACATCACATAATAAAGAGTTCCCATTTCGCCACCTACATAACTCACTTTCATTTCAATAGAGTTTGAGCTGAAAAGGAAAAAGTTCCCCAGGATGGAGGATATTTAAATATTGACTATAAAAAGAATTAATAAATCGCAACATCTCTAACTGCCTAGCAATTTATGTAAAGAAAATTCTGATTGATGATAAAAAAAGGAAAATACTATTAATAATATCATTAACCTCCTCTGTACTTTGATTACCATCATTTACACAACAATGCAGGGTACAAAACTCTAAAGTAGAGCAAAATTTAAAAATAAAATCTTGAGAAATTTTATCGACTGCCTGAGAAAAGTTAATTTTTATTATTTGTCCCCAATCACTTTCATTTTTTTCAAAATTAAATAAATAAAAACGTAGTCTCCCATAGCAACAATTAGAGAATCATCGCACTGCCACAAAAATAAACTAAGGAATTGAATTTTTTTCTGAAAAGTGAAAAGAAATACGAAGTTACCGTAATCAGAACGGGGTCGTTTAAGCATGGGACCAGAAGGGAGTAGAGACGCCTGCTGCCGATTCCAGTATCCCTCCACCATAATTTTCTCTATATGTTAAAAAACTATTAAAACAATTTCAGAAAAAAAAATTAAAATCAAACCATAATTTAAAATCTGTAATTGAAGAGACCTAGGCGAGGATAATTGGAAATTGATAAAACCCTAGGGCTCGGACTCTCCTCTTGCTGTGGCTCTGCTCACTACTTGTCGTCTAGTTGTCTACTTCCACTGCGCAGCGTTTTTCCTTTTTTTTTTTTTTTTTTTCAACTATTTTCGCAAAACAGTAACTGCGTTTGGTTTATTATTCTTATTGTCAAAATATTTATTTGTTTAATTATTTAGGAAATATTATTATATTTTTTAATTACTTTTTATCCCCTTAAGTTTATTAATTTTATTAAATACCTCAAAAAATAAGTTTAAAAATTAACAAAAACACCATCATCCACCCATATTTGTCAGATTCTGGCAATCACCATCAGTGGTATCTAAAATCTGTCACAACGGCCTACAAACGACTCAAACTGGCCGATAATTCACCGATCTGATCGAAATAGACCAAATCGATGCACGTCCGACCAGATCCGACCAGATTCCGGTGGTGGTGGCCAGAATTTGGCACTGTAGGTGGGTGGGGGTGTTTTCGTCATTTTATAAAAATTTTATATATTGGGGTGTTTAGTTAAATTAGCAAACCTAAGGGGTTTTTTTGTTAAATTTTAAATTTTACCTGTTGATAATCACCCTATTCAACTATCCAATATTATTTCCAAAATAACAAACCAAACGCACCCGTAGAGATATTTACGACCCCAAGAGATTTACCATAATACCGTCCTTTCTTTTTTAAGCACATAAATTATCAAAATGTTAAATGTGACTTGATTAAATTTCACAAGTTTCTTAGTTTTCATTCTCTCTGTGTGTTTTTTTGCTCAATTAAGTATTATCACTATTAAGCGGAGTTATGTATCCACATTCTCTTTTTCCTGAACGAATTTTATCCCTAATATACGAACTTAAAAGACTTTTGATTCAATATCATGATGAATAAATATCTCATTTAAAAAACTTAGGTAAACGGTAAAGACTCAAACTTATTGTTCTTAACCAATAATTAAAAAAATAATAATAATTTGTATAATCAAAAGTGATAAGAATTTGCCATTTTAAGAAAACTAAGAGGTTTGATTTGAAGTGAAGTCATCCTTTTTCAGCAACTAGACTGGATGTCAATTTATAAGTATTGTGACGGAGATTGGAGAGCAGCATTTCATGTTTCTCTTACTCTTAAAAGTGCATCTAAATCATTCTCTATTCCAATTATTGAACTCAAAAGATTTCTGTGTCAGGAATGATTTCGACATGACAAATTTCTGGCCCGATCTGCTATATCACTTGGATAACAACCCTTTTTTCCATTCCCACTTGCTAAAATTCCTTTTTATCTTCTAATTAACATTAATACCAAGATGGTTAAGGTTATAGCCATTGCACTAGATACCTATATAGTCATAGTGGCCAACCCATAATGCCTCTACTTTGTTCTCAAGGATTGTGGTTCGTTTTGCTATTTGTTTTCATATAAAATTGTATGTTATACAAAAAACTGTTTAATAAAGAATAAAATTGTAAATGATAATAAAATTATAAAAGTTTTATTAAGAACTGAAATATGAATCTTATTAAAAATATAACGTCTCGTATACTATGTATAAATATAGAGGTGAAAACCAATTCATATGAGAATATAAAATATTTGATGTAAGAGTTATTAAACACAATTGATAGAATATCTTAGAAACTAAGATTATTTATGTTATGTTGATTATGTACCGGATTGTTTCCGCTCTATTAATTATGTATCCAGTTTACGATGTTATATATTTTTGTATATCATATTTATGAAATTATAGTAGATTTCTCTCACTTGTGATGTAGACAAGTTATGCTAAAATTAAGTAAATATTGTATCTCTTTGTGTGGTATGATTTTATTTCTATGTTATTAATTTCGAATGTATGTTTTTCATTGCACGATCTCCTAACACTATGAGCTCTCTCTTCTATGATTAAGATCCTTCCGTACAAAAGAATGGATCGATCCTCTCATTTTCCTTTTAATTTGTGAAATTATATCTATTTCTTTCTTAAGAAATTGTGGTCGACCTTGACTGAATAAGAGTTGGGTTATTTTAACTAAATATATGTGTTTTACATTATTCTTATGTTTCTTTTAACGAAGTAAACAGATTCTAGATGAAAGAAACTCAAAAATTCAAGTGGGGGGTCAAAACAAAGTATATCTACTTGGGTACGGCTGCTATATTAGAAGCCTTGTTTGAGGATGATTCCCAGACAGGTTCAAGAAAACACTCGTAGCTATTTTTAGGTATGTTTATTGGTTGGTCTATGATGCTTTATTCGATGAATAATAATGAAGGGAGTATGCATGTGACTTGGCTTTCTTTCATTCAACATAAAAGAGAAGTTGAAAGGAAAAGCAAAAAAAAAAAAAAAGGTAAAGTGAATAAAACGAGGAAGTGTTTGTGGGTGCTTGAGTTTTTGTCTGGGGCTTTGAACGAAAATGCCCCCACGTTTGAGCTTGCCTTTCCCTTATCTACAGTGTGTTCTTTTGTCCCCTACTGATGATATGAGTTAAGTGGTAAAACATAGCATATTTTATAATTATTATAATATTGACCTGCTTATATGGATAAACAATAGGCATCCTTCTTTCATGTAATGTTTTCTTTTTTTATTCTTAGGTCGGAATTTTATGTCCACACATGGAATTTTTTTTTTTTTTTTTTCTTGGTACAGTTTTTAGGTTCGAATTTGGATTATATACATGAGAAAATCACATATAAAATTCCATGTTATTTATAGGTCAAGTAATATCTGAAATACATGTCTAACTAAGAAACCTAATTAAGTAGTACTGTACTGTCGGTGTAATGCTGCTAAAATCTCAATATTGTAAGAGCAACATTTTCATATTTAAAATTGTAATATTCCACGTGTACAATGTTACGTCCCTTAAAAACATAATAAAATCAACGTTGTGGAGCACGAATTCAATGAGAAATGTATTTATTTTATCATTATTCATAATATATCATCAACCTTGTGAAATACATAGACGTAAAATTCGATCGCAGGCCAAAACAAGGCAGACACGCAGAGCAGCAAATACAAAATATGAATCCATGAAAATGATAAGCCTGTTTTCTTTCTTCTACATATCCATTATTATTATTATTGTATATTCTCTAACCACGTAATTATAATAAGATAAACCAAACGCGGAACCCCGCTCTTCTTTCACTCTGTAGAGCTCTTCAAGAGGAAACACTTCAACGCATGGATGTGGATTACTGTTATCCGCTGCTTCTGCAAAACGTCATATTTAAATTACATTAGTAAAACAAACGCTTCAACATATTAATATTACCCAATGGGATGGAATGCATGCAGCTTCAGGTAGCAGAAGCGTTTTTATGTGAAATTAATTTCAAACATTTATTAACGTTTGACGATACTTTACCTGAAAAGCAGTGTTTAAAGCTACTATCTATAGGTTGTGAGAAGGAGGGGGACATGAATAGACGTTAATGGGAGGCGGGGTGGGGACTTGTAAACTGGTGCGGTGGAGACTGTATTTATAGGGCTTTTTGGTGGTGGTGGTGGGAGACTGTGGATCTGGGGAGGAGGTGGTGGGGACTTGTACTTGTGGGCTTCTTGGGTGTTGGTGGTCGTGGGGACTTGTTCCACGGTGGAGGAGGGACCTTGTAAAAGGGTGGTGGGAAATTGTAACTCCGGTGGTGGGGAGAGGAGAATTGAAACTGGGGTGGGTGGGGGGAGAAGCGTAAACTGGTGGTGGTGGGGGAGACTTGGTAAACTGGGGTGGTGGGGGAGAAGCGGTAAAACTGGTGGTGTGGGGGGAAGCGTAAATGGCGCGTGGTGGGGGAGACTTGGAAATGGTGGGTGGTGGGGGAGAAGCGTAAACTGGCGGTGGTGGAGGGAGAAGCGTAAACTGGCCGGTGGTGGGCGGAGAAGCGTAAACTGGCGGCGGTGGGGAGACTTGTAAAATGGTGGTGGTGGAGGAGAAGAGTAAAAACTCGGCAGCATCGAGGAGTCAAAAGGTAGAGTAAGAGAGATTGTAAAACTAAAAGAGTGGCCAAAAGAGAGGCCATTGAACTCCCCATTTTCACTACACAAATATTAAAATGGGTTGTTGCTTTTGCTTGTGCTCTCAAACCGAAGCCTCTCCCCTCTTATATAGAATTTTTTTTTACCATTTTCCCCATAACTATTAATGGTAAATTTGACTTAATTACAACAAATTTAACCCTAAATCATTGAAGATCATGTCTGAATGACTTTAATTTGAAGAGGTATTTGGTTTATTTGGGCTAAGTAATGTTCATAATTTCAAAGAGAAATGGAAAGTCTTTGTAAAATGATATGTTCTATTAATATTAATGAGGATCAGCTTTGAAACATGAATTTAATTGCCTAAACTTTCTAGGAATTTTTTGCTTAATTGGGAAAATTATGGGACCAAGCGGCCACAAACTTTCTTCTCTAACATTTTCTGCTGAAGTAAATTCCTTCAAAAAAGTAATGATTTTCCATAATTTTATGCAAACACATGATATATATTTAAGATCTTACGAATTATGACATATAAATCATCAAATGATTGTCAAGTAATTAAACCCCATACTTATGTTATAATATAAACTTAGATTGATTATCAATTAAAACTAGAACACATTGGTAAGATAAATCACTCAAATTTTAATTTTTCTTAACAATTAATTAATATTGTAATAAAGCAGACACTTTCAAACTCTAGATTCTAGAATAGGTTCGGTTCGTTAGTCTCTGCAATCTGCATGCCTATAGTCTTGATCCCATATAGAAAATAGATAATGATCAAATTATAACAAAGTTAAAGCCAGCCGCTATTTAATTAATTCATTCCTAAAATTAAGCAATAATTAATTTACAGGTAACGGAAGTCATTCTCATCTCATGTACGGCCTGATTGTTGAGCAAAATATTTCAAGTAGGGTGATGCTATGGGTAATAACGGATGGATACTAATGTGTACTAATTAAAGCATAGTATATACTATGCTATAGTACCAGATTCTATTTTAATTAATACACAGCATTAGTACCCATCTGTTAGTACAAATGTATTATTCTTCAACTAATAATTAATTATAAAGTAGTGTCATTATTAAGTCAAAGAGTACGTGAAGACAAAAATAAACAGACGCAATCTCGGTCTCTTTTAACACAGGACCGGTGAATTAAAACACGTACGTTTGACTGCTACTCCAGGTTAATAATAATTGAAAAAGAAAACAGGTGGGTGAACATATAAGCTTCAAACAGGATTTATAAGAATGTGTAAAGAAGGTCACTGATTTGACGGACTGAAGCACAGTTGCCATGGGGTGTTCTTCAAGTGGCAGTTCAGGCCCATTGCCATTCTCGATAATGACAACCTCTCTAAATTTAATCTGCTTCTTTTACCGGAAAAACTCGCGATTAATCGAAAGAATATTGGAATATTGGAAGTCCGTGATTGTTAGAGATCAATAATATGTACCGACAAACTTGTATTCTAGAAGATAATATAAAGTTGCTAATTAAATATTATAAGTGGATTATAATAAACATTAGAAACATTATTGTCAGGGATAATGGTAGTTTAATAATATACATTTAGTACATTATTGTCAGGTTAGCTCTATCTTATCCGCAGAAAAAGACAATTGTGATTTTTAATAAATAGTCAAACTTGCATGTGATAGATATTAATTAGAGTCAGTTACACAATCTCAATTTAGATAGTTAATTGTAAAAGAAAGCTAATTGGTCATCGCGATAACCCAAAAAAAAAAATATAATATCTTTTAATTAAAACAATAACAAGCGGTATGCATAATTAATCTCTTGTTGACCTCAAAGGTGGACCCTAATTAACAGATCTTAGCTTTAGTGTCGTATGGTTCTAGTCTTAAAACTATAAACAAATTACAAATATAATTAGTAATTATATAAGAGAGGACGTATCTTTACTTCTTTCACAGCCAAAATACTTTCAAAAATAGGATTATGCACATTAAACAAATTAAAGAATGCTTAGGTCGAAAAAAGGTTAGCTCTCAGAAGTATTGTTGTATTTTAGTTTAAGTAATTAATAATTATGGACAGATTAATTAATTATAGCTAGACTAATGATAAACATATAAAGTAACATGTCTAAAACTACATAACATATAAAATATATAAACTATATATAAAAATACATTGGTGGATCCGTTAAATAACAAAATAATTGAATATATACAATCTAGTCTATTACTCATTAGTCAACTACGTTTAAAGTAAAGTATATTATCAAACTAATCCCGACGTCAAAAAGGTAAATAAAGAGCCTTGAGACTTTTAGATGTTTCTACTCTTGGTTTGTTCTACTGTTGGAGCGTCTGATTGTGAAGAGATAATTTTAAAAAAAAAAAAAAAAAAAAAAAAAAAAAATCTTACGTATTGAAGATGATAGATGTGATGATTGGGTGGTAGGGCATGTCGGCTGTCGGTTCATATTTCACCATCTAAGATAAGGCAGATCTAAGACTAATTCAAATTATTTAATTATATAATATAAGGTTTGATTTAATTAATATTGTTTGTGTTTAAGTCTAGAACTAATCTAACATGAAATGAAATGATTAATTCATCTTGTTAGGTAATGCTTTGAAGATTGCCATGCAAAAATGATAGTTTGATGTGATGATATAAACTTTCATTGTCAATCAAGTTATCAAATCTCGTTCCCCATTTGTTCTGCCAATATTTATCTAAGTAAACAGTTATTTACATCTTGAATCCCCCAAATTTTCCTGTAAGGATTTGGTTACACCATCCAATCACCAATGGGCCACAGCTTTGTACCCTTCAAGAAAGCAGAGCTTTACTGAAGTTTACTCAAAATTTTAGGTACAGAACAAAGAAAAATGCAATTCCCAGTCTCCATGTGCTCCAAGTCTTGAACCAACTGTTGAGGACCGCCACAGAGTCTAAAGTCTTGAAACACTGTAGTGTTATAAACATTCTAGAAACAATGAGCCACCACAGTGTTATTAATACACAACTCATACATTTGATTCCCCAAATGGATTAGCTTCCTCCATGAAGGGGTCAAAAAATTTCAAAAGTGAAATTAAATTCATGCCAGCCCAGTTGCCATTAGCTACTCAGCCTGTTAAATGTGCTCTTAATCTATTCACAGCAGCGTATTTTGTGGCGTATGCCACAAGAAACATGTTATAAAAATAGTATGACGCGGACAAAAATGAAAATCATTCAACGATCCCAAAACATGAGAATAAATATGCTATATAATTGTCAATCTCAATGGTCAAAGTTTTTACCCAACAACTAATTTAACAACAACATGGTCAGTTTCTGCAATCCATCTGAGGATTCAGATGCTTAAATAACATGTTAAAACTGTAAATTCTTCAGCCTCATCTCTAAATATTTTGGCACTCAAATGCTCATAATTTGGGTGGGGCGGAAGGATTCAGCTATTAAATTAAGTTTCAGAGAAGTTTAACCACAAACGGGGCATACTACCACAAGGCAATGGATAGATAATTCTATGTGTACCCCTAATGTTTACCAAGGCAATCTCCACCAAGGGACTATTCACCTCCGCCACGAGTTCCAGAACTAGACCTTGGGCCTGGGAACCGAGAAAACTGTAGTCGCAAGTATCTAGAATCAGAATCATCTTCGTCCATCTTTATAACCTGCATAAATCCACAGTAAAGTCAGCAAACTATAAAATGTAAGACTCTGATGTGGGTATATATGTCAGACAATGAATATAGTCCAGCAATTAGAGATTATTACACCCTTTTAGATTATGATGGCCTGCAAAATAGTAAGTCCATAAAGATATGGAAAGAAAGGCAGGCAGATGGCATTTGATGCACATTAATTATCTCCATTTCCAAATTTAAATATCTGGATTTGAGTAGCACAGATAACTGTCAAGATTCATGGAGAGGAATGGAATAATCACCTGCAAGGCACTCATAGCAGTGGCTGCACAGGCTGGACTGCAAAATCAACAAACAAAGAATAAGAGGGTCTCCAACCACGCTGCATTGTTACATGAACCATGGCTTTAGTATGAAGAAAAAGCATCAGACTTCAACAACTATTTGCAAAACATGAAAGGAAACCAAGTTGAGCAAATGATAATAGGTGGAACATAAACTGAAACATTCTGGAGCTACAAGATCGTTATGATAGGACTCGCAATGGGATACTGTCCACTTACCTGTTTGGATTCTTTGCTCCAAGTCTCACTCTTATATCCACAAAAGGTCGAAAATATCTGAACAGTGAGGTTAAAGAATAAAAACATAATCATGAGCAATATAGTAGAATAGCATGGAAATAAGAAAAAAACAAGATCACTGTCATTTATCAGTGCGATATTTCAAAAAGGTACGAGCTACTTCTCCTTTGTGGTGTTGGAGGAAGTACCTCAACATACAGAGTGTTGGAAGCATCAGGAGGTAGAGGTAACGTTTCACGGCTGGCTCTAGCCATGGTCTCCACTGGGAGACGTCATCTAAATCCCACGGGACCGTTTGCACCAGTATATCTCTGACCATGATTCCAGGACGACGCTCACACATCAGCAAATGGAATACCAGCCATTCCCCCACTAACACCCTTACCTGACCTAGCTCCTCCTAATGCATGGCTTCTCCAGAAGGAAAAAGAAGGATATTGCTTCAAAATCAATTACATGATCATTTTTGCAAACAAAAAACATGTTATGCCAAGGCAGTGAAAAAATGCAATTCAAGGTTGAAGAAGATACCGCACTCTGGAGATATCGATCTATGCTGATCCAATAGTTCTTGTATCCTTTACAGAACGTGCTCACCACGATCATCATCTCGTGATAAATACCATGCCTCTCATGACGTGAAGACATCCCAGACTGGGGAAGATCTGCAATGTTGTTAAGAATCAAAAGACATTAGTGAACTATCAGCATAGGCAACAACTATCACCACATCATACTCCAAACATCACATAATAAGAGTTCCCATTTCGCCACCTACATAACTCACTTTCATTTCAATGGAGTTTGAGCTGAAAAATGGAAAAAGTTCCCCAGGTGGAGGATGATATTTAAATATTGACTATAAAAAGAAGTTACTAATCGCAAACATCTCTAATGCCTAGCAATTTATGTAAAGAACAATTCTGATTGATGACTAAAAAGGAAAATACGAATAATATCATCATTAACCTACTCTGTAACTTTGATTACATCATTTACACAACAATGCAGTGGTACAAAACTTAAAGTAGAAGCAAAATTAAAAAATAAAATAAAATAAAATCTTGAGACATATTTACGACTGCCTGAGAAAAGTTAATTTTATTATTGTCCCCAATCACTTTCATTATTTTCAAAATAAAATAAAAAACGTTAGTCTCCATAGGAATCAAACAAATTAAAGAATCATCGCACTTCCACAAAAATAAAACTAAAGAATTGATTTTTTTCTGAAAATAATACGAAGTTACCGTAATCAGAAACGGGGCGTTTTAGCATGGGACAGAAGGGAGTAGAGGACCCTGCTGCCGATTCCAGTATCCTCCGCCATGATTTTCTTGTATGTAAAAAACTATTAAAAACATTCAAGAAAAAAAAAAAATTATAATCAAACCCTAATTTAAAATCTGTAATTGAAGGACCTGGCGAGGATAATTGGAAATTGCTAAAACCTAGGGCTCGGGACGCTCCTCTTGCTATGGTTCTGTCACTACTTCCACTGCGCAGCGTTTTTCCTTTTTTTTTTTTTTTTTTTTTTTTTAAACTTTTTTACTTTCGACTTAACAGAATTTTTAGTTTCAGAAACCGTATTTTTGCTAGATTCGGTGCGGTAGGCTGCATGTTGCTTCGTCATTAGGCTATGTTTATGCCATGTCATTAGAGTGTTAACCCCTGATCGCGTGTGGTAGCTGTTGGTTCTTATCAAAGAATTTTGTTAGAAATAAATAAAAAGGCAATTTTTTTTCCTCTGCTTTGATATTTAATGTAATTAGAAATCGTCTAAAAACTTAAATTTTAAATTTTAAAACCAGTTGCATCTAAAGCTAAATAATAAATACATGTCATATTATTTATTTTAACTCTTGTAAGTTTGTTGAATAATAAATATCTCATTAATATGGAATAATTAGCCATCAACCTTATTTTATAATTTTTTTATTTAAATTTGCTAATAGAAAGGAATAGTTGATATCTTCGTTTGTTTATCAACTTTTTCAATTTTTATGAACATTACTAATTAAACTTTTTTCCTTCTTTCTTTCTCCATCATTTTATAGAATTGACTTTCCGTTGTTTAAAACAAGTGTTGCGAGACCATTTTCTCGTTCTCTTTCGCACCTCATCTATAAAATTGGCTTTCTGTTACTAACATAGGTGTCACAAGGCCACTTTCAACCTGCATCAATAGTCACAAAGCCGAATGTTAGGGTATTAACATTTAGGGTTATTATGCTTTTTGAAATTGTTGGGTCGTAACAAATTTTGATAAGGTTTTGGGTGAGAAAGAAAATATAAAAAGTATGAAATAATATTGAAGTTGTTGAATTTATGAGGAATTTGAAAACCATTTCCAAATCTAACGAATTTTTTAAAAAAGAAATTAACGAATCGATAAATAATAAATAAATCAGGGCTTAACCCTTACACTTATCCAAACGGGTACCGGGTCAGGGCCCACCCAATGCTTTGAGCTTGGCCCAACTTTCCCTTCCGGATTTTTCAGGTAAGCATACCATTTTTCTTTCTTTCTTTTAAAAACTCTCAGCCCATGACCCACCAACACAAATTGATAAAAATAAGTTTTCATGCTGACAAAACCAAAACAAAAAATAAAAAAAAATCGCAAACATAAAAGAGATTATTTACACCCCCATACTCTTAAAAGTGCATCTAAATCATTCTCTATTCCAATTATTGAACTCAAAAGATTTCTGTGTCAGGAATGATTTCGACATGACAAATTTTTGGCCCAATCTGCTATATCACTCTGATAACAACCCTTTTTTCCATTCCCACTTGCTAAAATTCCTTTTTATCTTCTAATTAACATTAACACCAAGATGTTTGAGAAACCTTTGATCATCCAAGCCATTGCCTATGTAGTCATAGTAGCCAACCCATAATGTGTCTACTTTATTCCCAAGGCATACGTGTTGGGATATTATGGTTCGCTTTTCTATTTGCTTTCATATAAAATTGTATGTTATACAAAAAACTGTTTAATAAAGAATAAAATTGTAAATAGTAATAGAATTATAAAAGTTCTATTAAGAAGTGAAATATGAATTTTATTAAAAATATAATGTCTCATATATTACTTATAAATATAGAGGTGAAAACCAATTCATATGAGATAATATGAGAACATAAAGTATTTGATGTAAGAGTTATTAAACACAATTGGTAGAATATCTTAGAAACTAAGATTATTTATGTTATGTTGGTTATGTACCGGATTGTTTCCGCTCTATTAATTATGTATCGGATTTACAATATTGTATACTTTTGTATATCATATTTATGAAATTATAGTAGATTTTTCTCACCTGTGGATGCAAGTAAGTTATGTCAAAATAAGTAAATATCGTGTCTCTTTGTGTGGTATGATTTTATTACTATGTTATTAATTTCGAATGTATATTTTTCATTAGAAAAAGTTCCCCAGGATGGAGGATAATATTTAAATATTGACTATAAAAAGAAGTTAATAAATCGCAACATCTCTAACTGCCTAACAATTTATGTAAAGAAACAATTATGATTGATGATAAAATACTATTAATAATATCATTAACCTCCTCGGTAACTTTGATTACCATCATTTACACAACAATGCAGAGGTACAAAACTCTAAAGTAGAAGCAAAATAATTTTTGATCTGTGCCAATTTCTAAAATCATAGGGACGTCCACGTAATTATCCCGATTAGTTTATATATTAAATTTTTGTTCTTATAGTTTAGAGCTGACGGATGTTGAACAATGGGTGGTAGGGCATGTCGGTTAATATTTTTTCTATAGTAGACAAAATAATTAAACTGGAAGTGGGATTCCTGAAATTTAGGTAGATGTCAAATAATTTTTATGTTAAAAAATTAAGCACATCGTCCGTTTATTTTACAATTATTTTAAGTCTAAATCTCACCTAATTGAACATGGGGCATGCATCTTCGATCTTAGACATATTCTTTTGAAGATGCCATGCGATGTGACGATTAGAAGCTTGATGTGATACCACACTACGACACACAGAATTTTCATTTTCCATCAATTCAATCCCAGTATTAGTTTTGTCAAATGTTCATAATTAAACAATGATAATACAGTTATCTAATACTACTATTCTCAAGTTTAATTTTTCTTCAATTAAAATTTTAAAAAATAAGGATATTAAAAAAGAAGGGCGCGGGGGAGGGAGAGGAGGCGTCATTGCATATATACACTGGTTTGTTATTCCTGGTTAAAGGAATTTGTGTAATTAATACAATCCAATCAATTGGGTATCAGCTTTAATTTTAAACCCCTAAAAGAAGCAGCCACACTAAACGAGTCAATATATTTGTCTCAAATTGTTAGGTACATGACAAAATTTAAGGAAAACAAATTTTCCAACTCATACTCCAAGGCCCAAGCACTATCATCCTCTCTTATCTTTTGAAAGACTTTTAAGAAATGAGAAGCCACCAACACAACACATCATTACATCTTATAATTAGTTCGAAAATATTGTGTAAAAAATATGCATTGATGTCAGCACTACTAATTAGAGCTTAACAAACACTCAAAGACAAAGTGCTATTAGCTATCAAAACCCAAACCGTCTCAAAGAGATATTTTATATCAATATCATCTCATTTTAAGATAATGATTAATGAGTGATCTCTACGTATCAAGACAACTTGCAAAAACACTCATTATACATAAAAGATATAAATGAGCACCTATCTTCACAAAAGAATGGGAGGAATATATGAGAGCTCAACACAAACGAGAGTTTCAACCATTATTTTTTCTCTGTAAATAAAATATTTTTCTATTTTTGTACGCCTTACAGGCAATATCAGAAAAATAGTCAGAGAATATTAAAATAACAGTAGATGTAGGATTCGCTTTAAGTATTTGAACCACTATAAATTAACATGAAAATTTCTTCATTTAATTTACAATTATGCATACCCTGTCAACATGTTGATACTTTCATCATGTAATATCAGAATAATATAATTAGAATAATGTTATGCTTACAACTGAGTCATACAACTAAACATACAATCGGACAAAAAAATAGGATAGAATAGTCATTTTACATTAATTGTATAAAAAAATTTGTCTGATTATATGATTAAGTGGTAAACATAGCATTATTTTTATAATTATTATAATTATTGACCTTGCTTATATGGATAAACAATAGGCCTCCTTTCTTTCATGTAATGTTTTCTTTTTTTATTCTTAGGTCGGAATTTTATGTTCCA